AGGAGGTGGAGAGCTGCAGGGGTGGAATTCCAAGTTGGTGGATAAGACTGCAGAAGGCGCGGTCACTGATGTCAACTGGGGAGGTACAACAGACCAAAATCAGATTAGTGTAGATACCTCCGGAGGGTTGTAGGTGTGGAGGAGATTACAGAGATAGGGAAGGGTGCAGGTGGGACCTGTAAACATACCTGAGAATTTTACAATTGAGGCCTAGTTTCTCTGGGCATCAGTGTGGCTCTGAAGACATGGTGGTGATGGATGGCTAGATGTTGGTGCAATTTGGAACACAGGCAACATGAGGTCACCTCAGACAGTATGACTCTTACCTTCTTTGTAAGCTGCAGTGAGCTCGTGGATTTGCTTGTTGTTTCTGGAGGCAAGAATTTCAATCATAACTTTCTCATCAGTTCCCAGTCCCTGCCGAGGGAAAAAGGCGCAAACAAATTAGGGAGTTAGGAGCTCGATACAATGGCTCAGCCTCACAGACCACATGGATTCCAGATTCCGTTCCTGAAACATAGAACATAGAACATAACAGCGCAGTACAGGCCCTTCGGCCCTCGATGTCGCGCCGACCTCTGAAACCAATCTGAAGCCCATCTAACCTAAACTATTCCATTATCATCCATATGTTTATCCAATCACCATTTAAATGCCCTTAAAGTTGGCGAGTCTACTATTTTTGCAGGCGGGGCATTCCACGCCCTTACCAGTCTCTGAGTAAAGAACCTACCTCTGACATCTGTCCTATATCTATCACCCCTCAATTTAAAGCTATGTCCCCTCGTGCTAGCCATCACCATCCGAGGAAAAAGGCTCCCACTGTCCACCCTATCTAATCCTCTGATCATCTTGTATGTCTCTATCAAGTCACCTCTTAACCTTCTTCTCTCTAACGAAAACAGCCTCAAGACCTTCAGGCTTTCCTCATAAGACCTTCCCTCCATACCAGGCAACATCCTGGTAAATCTCCTCTGCACCCTTTCCAATGCTTCCACATCCTTTCTATAATGCGGTGACCAGAACTGTACGCAATACTCCAAGTGCGGCCGCACCAGAGTTTTGTACAGCTGCAAGATGACCTCATGGCTCCGAAACTCAATCCCTCTACCAATAAAACCTAACATACTGTACGCCTTCTTAACAACGCTATCAACCTGGGTGGCAACTTTCAGTGATCTATGCACATGGAAACCAATTGTTGTCCTAAATAGTGCCACAGGGATTTCTTTTACCCTCGCAAGAGATGTTTGATGGGGCCTCAGTTTAACCATTCATTCAAGCGATGGTCCCTCCACCAGGCTAACAGTGCCCCTGTACAACATGGAGGGTCAGCCTGGGCCATGTGTTTGAGTCTCTGACTCTCTGGAGTTACTCAAAAAGAGCTCGACACCATCCAGGAAATGAGCAGGCCGTTTGACCGGTACCACATCCACCCACCTTCTGATCTCACTTGCCCCTTCACCACCAATGCTCAGTCTTTCTTTCTCTCTATTCACTTGTGGGACGTGTGTCACTGGCTGGGCCCAGCATTTCTTGCCCGTCCCTAGTTGCCCCTTGAGAAGGTGATGCTGAGCTGCCTTCTTGAACTGCTGCAGTTCACCTCCTGTGGGTTGACCCACAATGCCCTTAGGGAGGGTTTTCCAGGATTTTGACCCAGCGAGTGAAGGAACGGCAATACATTTCCAAGTCAGGATGGTGAGTGGCTTGGAGGGGAACTTGCAGGGGGCAGTGTTCCCATATATCTGCTGCCCTTGTCCTTCTAGATGGAAGTGGTCGTGGGTTTGGAAGGCGCTGCCTGAGGATCTTTGGTGAATTTCTGCAGTGCATCTTGTAGATAGTACACACTGCTGCTACTGAGCGTCGGTGGTGGAGGGAGTGGATACCAATTGACAAAGGTGCAGTGCAGCAAATCACCAAGACCCCTTAGACAACACTTTGCAAAACCCATGGCCTTGACCATCTAGAAGGACAAAGGCAGCAGAGACAATGGGAACACCACCATCTGCAGTTCCCCCCCAGGGCACTCACCATCCTGACTTGGAAATATATCGCCGTTCCTTCCCTGCTGTTGATTCAAAATCCTGGAATTCCCTCCCTAAGGGACTTGGGGGTCAACCAGCAGCAGGTGGACTGCGACAGTTCAAGAAGACAGCTCACATTCACTAAGCCAATTAGGGGTCGGTCTGGCCAGTGACATGCACATTTCATGAAAGATGCATAAAAAATAAAGTGGTTTTGAATGTGCTGTGATTGTGAAAAGTAGCTTCAGAATACAATTCCTTCCTTTCTATTGTTACTAAAACAAAGTCAGAGAACCAATTGGGTTTTAAATACACACATTCTCTTCCTACCAATAGGAAGCTGTCAAATACATTGACTTTTGCCTCCTGAATTGGAACAGTAGAAGGTGATCCGATAGCACTGCCTTTCACTCCGGTTTACAGCACACAGTGATGTCAGGATACCTGCCAACAGCAGGGATTTGTCCTTGGCCTCCTTCCCTTCCGTCTCTGCCCCTAAGCGTTTTGATTACTGCCCCGCTGCCACAGCAACTTGATTCTGACAAGGTGGGAATTGTAAATGGCATCAAATTATTTGCCCTTTTGGAATGAAAGGGATTACATTTCTGTAGTGCCTTTTGCAGTCTCAGGATGACCCACGACAGCCGATGAAGCACTTTCGAAAGTCGAGTCACTGTTTCAGCATTGGAACTGCAGACCAGCTGACCTGTGCACAGCAAGATCCCACAAATTTGACTAAACGGCCAATCTTTTTTCTTTCAGTGATGTTGGTTGTGGGATGAATGTTGACCCTGGAATACTGGGAAGACACTTCCCAATCATCATTGGCTAATGATCACGGTATCTTGTGCACTCAGTATTGTCCCCCTGACAACGCTCCCTTAGTTCCAACAATGCAGCACTCCCTCAGTACTGTGTCCCTGACAATACTGTATTGTTTTACACGCAGGAGCCTTTCACTGGCTCACCCTGGCAGTATGCATCCAGAAACATGCAAATACATTTTTACCTCGATCGCATCTCTCAGCTCGACGGCATCATATACTGCAGGAGGTCTCATGAGGCCAATGATCAGTCTCTCAAATTTTCCCGTCAATTCATACTTCAGGTCATCAATCAGATCCTGTGACACAGAAATCTTGTCAACTTCTTTAAAAAATACTGTACAGTTGTTTTTCAATCTCAAGCCTGTTCCCCTCTAATCAGTTGGGGCATTTGAGCTTGCAAGATAGCTCACTGTGCAGAATGGTATAATGACTTAACAGTGTCATTTTAAAAATAAACAAGTTCATGGACTGTGCCATGAGAGTGTTAGCAGCGTATGACCTGATCTATATCCCCCCTCTATCTGCCCATTGTGCTTCTGCAACTATTTTGAAACCCATACCAAACAGAAGTGTATCAATGGAGATAGCAAGAACTCCAGATGTTGGGTCAGAGTCAATAGCGTGAAGCGGGAGGAACACACAGCATCAGAGGCACAGTCTGGAAGAAGGGTACCGACCCGAAACATTGACTCTCCTGCTTCTCTGATGCTGCCTGACCTGCTGTGTTCCACCAGCTCCGCACCGTATTGAAAAGTGCATCAGTTTTAATTTACTCCCCAGGCGCAATGGTTTCTCTTCGGGCTAGGTGCTAGGAGGAGAGGGTGGGGTGCTGTTTCAGATTTTGACTGCCCCCTACATGGAAACAGAGTTTCCTGGCATCACCCAGCGCTCGTTCTAAAGCTGGATGTTCTTTGTTCTTTCCTCCAGGACAAACCAAACTGCCTCTTCGATTGCTTGAACCAACCATTAACCTCTTCAAGGCTCTACAAATCCAGTTTATACACCACCTACATTAGGGTTAGGATTAGGGTTAGAGTTAAGGTCAAGATTAAAGTTGAGGTTAAGGTTAGAGTTAAGGTTAGAGTTAAGGTTTGGATTAAGAACAGGATCAAGGTTAGGGTCAAGGTTAGAGTTAGGATTAAGGTTAATGTTAGAATTAGGGTTAAGTTTAGAGTTTAAAGTTCAGGTTGTTGTGTTCAGGATTAGGGTCGGGGTGATCTGGATGATCATTCTGCCTGTGCCAACTCCATGACCGATTGTAATACTCCCTTCACCTTTCCCACCCTTGCTGAGCTAACCCAGGTCATCTCTGCCTCGTTACTTGATTCCACAATCCACAATAATGTCAAGTAAGTTCAAATACAGACAGAAACAGACTGCTAGAGAAACCCAGCAGACTCACAGTCACACTGGGCTCAAAAGCGTTAACACCGTTTCTCTCTCCACAGGTATTACCACACCTGCTGAATTTCTCCAGTATTCTGTGTTTGTCTCAGATTTCCAGCACCACATTATTTTAACTTATTCAACAGTTCCCAGACAGACTCTCTCTCTATCCTTGCTCAGTTCAAAGTTTGAAATCTCTTGCCCCAACACTGTGGTTATGGAAGGGTTATAATTCTGTTTCTGTCTAATTTTAGTATATGTGCTAATGCAGTGTTCACACCCTTATGACACTGTCCATGAAGCTGTTTATTTTTAAAATGAGAGTTCACTGCTGTAGGTGAACTATCTTGCAACCTGTGATGGCTCAAAACCCCTAATTTTTGAACACTGCAACTTAGACACCCAATGATTGAAGCCAGGACATGTTTGTTGAGCTGTACTGGGAGGATTATGACTTTAATTTTAAATTATCCCATTTAACCCATTGCATGTTGTGCCTTCCCTTGGAAAACAAATCTCCATTTTGTCATAGATAGTAAGAACTGCAGATGCTGGAGTCAGAGATAACACGGTGTGGAGCTGGAGGAACACAGCAGGCCAGGCAGCATCAGAGGAGCAGGAAAGCTGACATTTCAGGTTGGGACCCTTCTTCAGAAATGGGCCATGCTGTGTTATCTCCATTTTGTCATTTTCCTTTTGACCTCTGACCATTCGGCCCATCACATCTGTACAGTTGCTCTGAGACAGCAATCCATTTAGCTTTTACTCCCTTTCTCTAGTCTGGACAGTGTGGTGGCTCAGTGGTGAGCACTGCTGCCTCACAGCCCCCAGGAGGTGGGTTCAATTCTACCCTGGGGTGACTGTCTGTATAGAGTTTGTATGTTCTCCCTATGTCTGTGTGGGTTCCCTCTGGGTGCTCGAGTTTCCTCCCACAGTCGGAAGATGTGTAGGTTAGGTGGTTTGGTCATGGAAAAAGATGGTGTGAGTCTGGGTGGGATGCTCTTTGGAAAATTAGTGTGGGCTGAATGGCCTGCTTCCACACTGTAGAGATTCTATTATTCAGCCCACTGTACCTGAGCCAGATCTCTGAAAGTAAATTATTCTTTATTCCTGTTTGACATGCTGTAGCTACAGAGGGAAATTAACAGGGTCATCACTAAGCAGATGATTCCCTTTTTGGGGGAGACTACAACGAGGGGACACAGTTAAAAAAATACATGGTCCCTCATCTAAGTCATTGGAAAATGGGAACAGGACTAGGACTTTCAGCCCCTCAAGCCTGTTCTACCACTCAGTGAGATCATGGCTGACCTGTGGCCTAACTCCATGCACCTGCCTTTGGCCCATATCCCTTCAAAGCTTTGCTTAACAAAAATTGATCTATCTCAATTTAAAATTAACAGTTGGCCCTGAATCCACTGCCATTCACGGAAGAGAATTCCAAACCTCTCCCACCCTTTGTGAGGGGATTGTTTAATTAATCAGACAGTTGTCAATCTCTGGAATTCTCTACCCCAGACAGCAATGGAGATGGGGTCATTGAACATAGTGATGGTTGATGTTGATAATTTTTGATTGATGGGTGAGTCACAGTTATGGGAGAGTTACCAGGAAAGTAGAGTTTGGGCAACAAACAGAACATGGTGGCTCACTGGTTAGCACTGCTACCTCACAGCACCAGTGACCCAGGTTCGATTCCACCCTCGGGTGACTGTCTGTACGGAGTTTGCACATTCTCCCCGTGTCTGTGTGGGTTTCCTCCGGGTGCTCCAGTTTCCTCCCACAGTCCAAAGATGAGCAGGCTGGGTGGATTGGCCATGGGAAATTGTTCAGGGATGTGTAGATTAGGGAGGAGGGTCGGGGTGGGATGCTCTGAGGGTCAGTGTGGACTTGTTGGGCCGAAGGGCCTGTTTCCACACTGTAGGGATTCTATGATCAGAACAGCAATGATCTTACAGGATGGTAGAGAGCCAAATGACCTACTCCTACCAATTAGATGTTTGTATGAAAAGAAAATTTCAGTCACTGCAAAAGACATTTACTGGGTTTATCCCTGCATTGAGAGGTGATACCAAATAGAAGCATTCTAATTATGAATGAGTGGGAGTGGGTTACATTTACTGGGATTTGTTGCTGAATGACTAACAGGTGGGAATATGCCCAGAGTCAATGTGGGGAGAATAAAGTGAAGGAATGCGTTTCTGTCCAGAAATAATTAGAATGCCGAATACCCTTTAACAAGAAATGATTGAATCAAAATCCACCACATTTCCGAAGGAATTAAACAAATACATGCAACCTATTAGGGGGCAGGACAATGGGGTTAGAGGTGGCACTGAGAATGTGTACACACTTCCTTTTCAACTTCAACAGCCATCTTTTAGAGCCGAGATTTGTGAAGATAAAAAGCAGGGTAAATTATCTCTCAACACACACAAGAACATAAATAATAAGTTACCCTTCCATAGAGAGTCTTGTAGCTTGTGCAGATCTGTTGGCGTTGAGCATTGGACCTGGAGGTCAATAAGTCAATGATGGTTTCTTTATCACTGCCTGTATTTAATGGGGAAAAAGGACAGGAGTTCAGTTCTTGCACTTTAACAAGTTTTCTAACCTATGTTGGGGAGATGATAGTATGGGGGTATTGTCACTGGATACTAATCTGAAGTCCCAGGCTATTGCTTTTGGAAGCATGGGTTCAAATCCCATCGCAGTCAGAATTTTAACTTGTCTGCTTCATAAACCTTGTTTCAGGAATTGAGAGCGTGAAACTCTCATCAACTGTTGTAAAAACCCTCTTGGTTCACTAATGCCCTTTTGGGAAGGAAGTGTGCCATCTCTACCTGGTGTGGCCTACACGTGACTCCAGACTCTCAGCCACGTGGTGGTCAACTCTGAAATGGCTGAGCCATCTGTTCAGCTCAAGGTTAATTAGGAATGGGCAACAAGTGCTGGCCTTACCAGTGATACCCACAGCCCATTGAAAAATCATGCAAGTCATGTTTAGTCCAGAGGGTATCTGCGTTGGTCAGTGTATTGCCAGCCATTAATCTACCACCGAACCTGGGTGAATGTGGCATAGCCAACTGTGACACACCTTTAGACCTGACCAGGAGACCAAGGAGAAAAAAAAATTAAGGAGGGCCTTTCCCACACAGGACAAAGCATCTCGCTTGACCAGCACCCCATCCACCCTCTTCAACATTCGCTCCCTCCACTGCCAACGCACAACAGCAGCAGTGTGTACCATCTGCAAGGTGCACTGGAGCAACTTACTGTAGTTCCAGTGACAGTGCCTTCCAACCTCTACCACCTCGAAGGACAAGGGCAGCAGGTACAATGGGAACATCACCACCTGCAAGTTCCCCTCCAAGCCACTTACAACACCCTAACTTGGGAATATATCGCCGTTCCTTCACTGTCACTGGGTTAGAACTCCATCCCTAACAGCACTGTAGGTCTACCTACACAACATGGGCTGCTCACCACCAAGCAATAAATGTTCAGCAAGCGATTCCTTCTGCTTCTTAGTAACCCATCAGAAAGGAGCTATAGGTGGAGAACTGAAAGCAACGCCTTAAGCACTCAGAGATAACACAGTGTGGAGCTGGAGGAACACAGCAGGCCAGGCAGCATCAGAGGAGCAGGAATACTGACGTTTCGCGTCGGGACCCTTCTTCAGAAAATTTTTTCTGCCTGGCTGCTGTGTTCCTCCAGCTCCACACTGTGTTATCTCTGACTCCAGCATCGGCAGTTCTTACTATCTCTCCTTAAGCACTCAGTAGTATCAGATGAGCATCCAAACAGATTGAAGAGCTCATCCTTCCATTAGAATTATTGCTGGGATACAGGTGCCATTAGCCAGGCTAGCACCTGCTGTCTCTCCCTAGCTGTGCTGGGAAGGTAGCAATGGTTCGGTCTTTTATTCTGTAGTTTGATGCCACACCATGAGTTGGATTTAAGACAGACTGGTTGAGGAGAAGGCAAAGTTAAAAACTGTCTTTAGGTTTAAAATCCAAAGTTACACTATTTATTGTACATTAACACTAATACTTGTATATGATAATCCTAGATAAGCCAGGCTCTGATCGTACATTAGGTAAGGACTAATCTAACTTCATGGTGTTAATGCTCTGTGTGTCTTCCTCAGAGAGTATTGAGGCGTGTTTCCAGAGAGTCTAAAGTTTGAATGTGCTCTAACTCCACCACACTGTGGTATTTATACTTAGTGATCTGTAGTTCCCTGACATCATCACAAGGTTGCTGCAGACTCTCAATACCCTTAACACAACAGCCTCCTTCCTATCTTGAGGGAACTGTGAGCCAGGCTCAGCCATTTCAGAGAATGGTTAAAGCCAGCCACATTGTATGTGCTGGAGTCAGTGATAGTCTTGGCTACATAGGGGTGGTACGGTGGCTCAGTGGTTAGCGCTGGTGCCTCACAGCGCCAGGGACCTGGGTTCTCTTCCAGCCTCAGGTGACTGTCTGTGTGGAGTTTGCACATTCTCCCTGTGTCTGCAAGGGTTCCCTTCAGATGCTCCAGTTTCCTCCCATAGTCCAAAGATGTACAGATGAGGTGGACTGGCCATGCTAAATTGCCCATAGTGTCCAGGGATGTGCTGGCTAGGTGGATTAGCAATGGGAAATGTAGGATTACAGGGATGGAGTTGATCTGGGTGGGATGCTCTTCAGAGGGTCAGGATGGGCTGAATGGCTATTGCCATACTGTAGGGTTTCTATGACAACAAGGTGCAGGGCTGGATGAACACAGCAGGCCAAGCAGCATCAGAGGAGCAGAAAGGCTGACGTTTCGGGTCGAGACCCTTCATCAGAAAAGGGGGTTCTGAAATAAATAGGGAGAGAGTGGGAGGCGGATAGAAGATGGATGGAGGAGAGGATAGGTGGAGAGGAAACAAACAGGTCGAAGAGGCGGGGATGGGGCCAGTAAAGGTGAGTGTAGGTGGGGAGTTAGGGAGGGGATAGGTCAGTCCAGGGAGGACGGACAGGTCAACGGGGCGGGATGAGGTTAGTCGGTAGGAGATGGGGGTGGGGCTTGAGGTGGGAGGAGGGGATAGGTGGGAGGAAGAACAGGTTAGGGAGGCGGGGACGAGCTGGACTGGTTTTGGGATGTGGTAGGGGGAGGGGAGATTTTGAAGCTTGTGAAATCCACATTGATACCATTGGGCTGCAGGGCTCCCAAGCGGAATATGAGTTGCTGTTCCTGCAACCTTCAGGTGGCATCGTTGTGGCACTGCAGGAGGCCCAGGATGGACATGTCGTCTGAGGAATGGGAGGGGGAGTTGAAATGGTTCGCGACTGGGAGGTGCAGTTGTTTATTGCGAACCGAGCGTAGGTGTTCTGCAAAGCGGTCCCCGAGCCTCCGCTTGGTTTCCCCGATGTAGAGGAAGCCACACCGGGTACAGCGGATGCAGTATACCACATTGGCAGATGTGCAGGTGAACATCTGCTTGATGTGGAAAGTCTTCTTGGGGCCTGGGATGGGGGTGAGGGAGGAGGTATGGGGGCAGGTGTAGCACTTCCTGCGGTTGCAGGGAAAAGTGCCAGGTGTGGTGGGGCTGGAGGGGAGTGTGGAGCGGACAAGGAAGTCACGGAGAGAGTGGTCCCTCCGGAAAGCAGATAAGGGTGGGGAGGGAAAGATGTCTTTGGTAGTGGGGTCGGATTGCAGATGGCGGAAGTGTCGGAGGATGATGCGTTGGATCCGGAGGTTGGTGGGGTGGTACGTGAGGACGAGGGGGATTCTGTTTTGGTTGTTATTGCGTGGACGGGGTGTGAGGAATGAGTTGCGGGAGATGTGGGAGACACGGTTGGGGGGGGGGAAGTTACGGTCCTTGAAAAACGAGGACAACTGAGATGTACGGGAGTGGAATGCCTCGTCCTGGGAGCAGATGCGGCGGAGGCGAAGGAATTGGGAATAGGGGATAGCATTTTTGCAGGAAGGTGGGTGGGAGGAGGAGTATTCTAGGTAGCTGTGGGAGTCGGTGGACTTGAAATGAATATTTGTTTCTAGGTGGTTGCCCGATATGGAGACAGAGAGGTCCAGGAAGGGGAGAGAGGTATTAGAGATGGTCCAGGTAAACTTAAGGTTGGGGTGGAAGGCGTTGGTGAAGTGGATGAACTGTTCGAGCTCCTCGTGGGAGCACGAGGCGGCGTCAATACAGTCATCAATGTAACGGAGGAAGAGGTGGGGTTTAGGGCCGGTGTAGGTACGGAAGAGGGATTGTATGTCTGGTGGGTTTCCTTCCTTCATGGAAATGAGTGAACCAGGTGGATTTTCAACATATTCACAGTGACTTTTTATTTCCAGAATTTGTTCTTTTAAACAGAATGGTGGTGGAAGCGGCGGAATTTGAGCTTAGGGTCTGTAGTCCTGGCACCTAGATAATCAAACCCTTATTTAAGGCTAATGACTGCAACCAGCTGGCAAAAGCTGTGCAAGAGTTTACTTCACCGAGGTAACCTCCTTACCAAATCCTTTCATCGCGTTGTACAGATTTTCTGCATCTTGATTAGCAGAAAAATTCTGAGCAGCTTTCACACTGCCTCTATATCCGGATCTGGCACCCTGTTCAATTCAAAACACAGCATGAATGATTTAAAAATAGGTCATTTAAAAAAAAATACAGTAAACTTTTTATTATCCTCCACCTATGGGACTAGAAGTGTGGCTGATTGATCAAATATTCCACATAATCAATATAAAACCACACACACTACGTAATAGAAATGTAATGCAGAGGGTATACACATCACCGTTATACTTTACCTACACCATAAATCACTTAAAATAATTATGCAACTTTGCCTTAAATAAAACTTAACAGCAGAGAGCCTTCTCACTCACACTCTCAACTCACTCCTTAGACGTCACAGTATTTGAGGAGAAATTGACTTGAAATTGAATCAGCTGTTGGTATTTGATGTAGCCATTCGACTGAACAACAGTATATTTACATTGAGGTAAACAAATTAAAAACTATAATAACTGGACAGCATAATACAGTAATACAGTTTCCACCAGACACACATTCCCTTCCCCACCCCTGTCAGTCTCCCGCAAGGACTGTTCCCTCTGGGACACCCCGGTCCCAACATCCCCCTCACCCTCCACCCTCATGGCACCTTCCCCTGTAACCAGAGAAAGTGCAACACCTGCCCATTTACCTCCTCCCTCCCAGTATCCGAGGGCCTAAACATAACTTCCAGGTGAAGCAACACTTCACCTGCACTTCCCAGAATCTAGTCAACTGCATTCGCTGCTCACAATGTGGTCTCCTCTACATTGGGGAAACGTTGTGTAGACTGGGTAACCACTTTGCAGAACATCCACATTCTGCCCACAAAAAAGACGCTAGGGCTCCAGTTACCTGTCACTTTAACACACCACCCTGCTCCCTGGCCAACATCTCTGTCTCAGGCTTGCTGCAGTGTTCCAGCGAAGCTCAGTACCTCATTTTCTGCCCGGGAATTCTACATCCTTCTGGGCTCAATATTGAGTTGAGCAATTTTAAGGCTTGAGGCACCTTCTCCCATGTCCTTACCTCAACACCCACATACCACGCCCTGGCATCACATGATATTCTATCACATATTACCTATTGTTAGCCACTAACAGTCCTCATTAACAGCTATTCACCTCCGAGCCAGATCGTTATCCACTCCTTTGAATGTCCAAATGTTCTCCTCTCTCTTCGGGCTCTATCCCCACCTGTCATTTACTCCTTACCCCCTCTTTCCACCCTGTCTTCTGCATAAGAACCAACCTTGCCCTTGCTACTATCAGTTCTGAGGAAGGATCACTGGACCCAAAATGTTAACTCGGATTTCTCTCCACAGATGTTGTCAGACCTGCTGAGCTTTTCCAGTGATTTCTGGTTTCCAGCATCCTTAATTCTTTCTCTTTTTTTTCGGATAATACAGTATTTGAGGTACTGTATATAATTTTTGCTGGTTTATCACGAGTGCCAATTCATAAGGTGCCAGTTAAAACAAAGCTGGCTGTACATATTAAGCCCCTTCCATAGCCCTTTCAATCAAATACACTTATGCTTCATGAGTCAAGGCTATAGCCTGCACCCTCTGCAGTTTAAAAGAATCAGAGGTGACTTAATTGAAACAGGTAAGATCCAGAGGGGGCTTGGCAGGGGCATGTTGAAAGGATGATTCCTCTTCTGGGAGAATCCAGAACTAAAGGTGACAGTTTAAAAAAAAAACAGGTTATCCGTTTAAGACAGAGACGAGGGAAAAGATTTTCTCTCAGAAGGTTGGAATTCACTTCCTCAGAAGGCAGTGGATGCAGAATTTTTAACTATTTTTAAGGCAGAGGTGGATAGATTCTTGATTCCCAAGGGGATATACAGGAATGTGGAGTCGGGGTTAAAACCAGATCAGCAAAAATCTTATTAAATGGCACAGCAGGTTCGAAGAGCCAATGTGTGACACTCTCTATCCCTTGGGAATCCTCCATCTGGCTCTGGTTGTGGTTCTGATCATGAACATCCTTCCTGTGTGTACCCTGTCTGGTCTTGTTAGAATTTTATCAGTTACAGTGACATCTCCCATTCATTATTGCTAACTCCACTGAATCTCATCCCAACCTATTCAGTCCCTCTTCATACGTCAGTCCTGCCATCCCAGGAATCAGTCCGATAAACTTTTCCCGCACTCCCTCCGTCGCCAGAAGATCCTTCCTCAGATAAGGAGACCAAAACTGCGCACAATACTCTAGGTGTGGTCTCCCCAAGGCTCTGTACAATTGCAGCAAGATGTCCCTGCTCCTGGACTCGAATCCTGTCCCTATGAAGGCCAACATCCCATTTACCTTCTTCACCACCTCCTGCACCTGCAATGCTTACTTTCAGCGACCAGTGTATGAGGATACCCAGGTCTCATCGCACCTCCCCCTCTCCCATTCAGATAACAATCTGCCTGACTGTTTTACTGACCAAAATGATGCTAGTGCTTTTTGACGTTAAGTGTCCCTCCGCTGCACTCCAATGCAGCGCATTCCAGAACATGACTCACTGCGGGAAAAAAAACATTCTCCTCAGCTTGGAGGTGACCTTGGCGGTGTGTTTGTAAAGTGAATACTTGCTGAAAGATGGCTGTGTGTCTTGATGGCACAGTATATACAAGCTGAGAGAAAACGCAGTGTAGTGACTGTTAAGTGAATATTCAAAAGGCATCTGGATGGGTACATGAATAGGAAGGGTTTAGAGGGATATGGGCCAAATGCTGGCAAATGGGAGTAGATTAATTTAGGATATCTGGTCAGCATGGACGAGTTGGGCTGAAGGGTCTGTTTCTGTGCTGTACAATCCTATGGCTCAACTCCTGTCTTGCTCTGTAGACAAATAGTGGACATTGAAGTGCGGTCACACCACACACCACCCTAGGCTTAGGAAAGCTAATGGCTTTGCACCTGACAACAGGCAGGTGGGATTAGTTTAGTTTGGGAACATGGTTGGTGTGGTCTGATTGGGCCGAAAGGTCTGTTTCCATGCTGTATGACTCTGTCTTAAGTAAGTGACCTCTTACTCTGAGATTGTACCCTCTGATTCTAGACTCTCCTACAAGGGAAAAACAACCTTTCCGAATCTATTCTGTCGATCCCCCTAAGAATCTGCCCTCCTTACCTGGTCTGGCCTCCATGTGACTCCAGACCCACAGCAATGTGGTTGCCTCCTAACTGCCCTCTGGGTAATTAGCAATCGTTAACAAACATTAGTCTGTTCAATGATGCCCAAATCCCATGATAATCCTCAACTCTACCTTCCTGCCTTTTCCCCAAACCCTCGGCTCTATTACTGATTAAAAATCCATGTCTCTCTGCCTTGAATATATTGAATGAGCCAGCTTCGAGAGGCCTCTCCACGTCACTGGCTTTAACGTCACTGCTCCACAACTGCTCAGGGAGGGATTTTGGCATCAACCGCGCAGCTGATAAACTGCGGACAACAACCACTGAATGACAGAACAGGTTCAGGAGATTAAACAGCCTACCCCTGTTTCTCTGCTGTGATTCTACAAACTGATGGCTCTCTTCATGTTATAAACTCTCGTCTGTAATTGCTGCTGATCTGCAAAGAGTCTGAGGAAATTTTTTAAAAATTGCTTAGCCTCCTGGGGTTTGACAAATCTTGCTCACACTGTGCTGTTCGCAATAAGCCATCAGCAATTCAGTATTCACACCAAAGCACAGAGACCATTTCACCAGATAGCAAGGTTAGACACTGCGGCAGGAGATGGTGCAGTGGGAAAGGCAGACACTGGTCGAGTTTGAGAGGTTTGTGAAGGGATACTGATCGATAGGGAAAGAGAGGAGACAGATACAACAACAACTTGTATTTTATTAGCACCTTTAACAGAGTAAAACATTCTGAAGAGCTTCACAGGGACATTAGAAATCCAATCAAGTCACAGGAGGAGATACTAGAAGAGATAACAAAGACAAGTTTGCTGGATTAGGTTTCCTGATACATCTTAAAGAGGGAAGCTGAGAGGTTTCGTGAAGGAATTTCTGAGTCGATGGCCACAGGAATGCAAGAGGTATGTCCACCTACAGCAGGCTGATCAAAATTGGGGATGCTGAAGAGGTCACGTAAAAGGAAGGCAGAGATTGCAGAAGGTCTGGGGTCGGAGGAGATCACAGAGACAGGGAAGGAGTTGACAACAGGCTGAGAATTTTCACACCAAGACATTGCTTGAGCAGCAGTCACAGTATATCAGTGAGCAGAGGAGAATACAGGAATGGGATTCACTCGGGGGGGCTCCATTGTGACCACTTCGACATCGGGGAAACCAAGCGGAGGCTTGGGGACCGCTTTGCAGAACACCTACACTCGGTTTGCACTAAACAACTGCACCTCCCAGTCGCAAATCATTTCAACTCCCCCTCCCACTCCTCAGATGACATGTCCATCCTGGGCCTCCTGCAGTGCCACAACGATGCTACCCGAAGGTTGCAGGAACAGCAACTCATATTCCGCTTGGGAACCCTGCAGCCCAATGGTATCAATGTGGACTTCACAAGCTTCAAAATCTCCCCTCCCCCTACCGCATCCCAAAACCAGCCCAGCTC